TCCATGTAATATACCCATGGTAATATATTTTGTATTAATAACCTTTTGTTTTTTACTTTTCTTGCAAGTGTCTTTTTTAATTAATAAATGTATAATCTAATGTCAGCCTTAACATGATGAGCAAGGAACCTGCCTGCTGCAAAAGTGGAATTGGCTTGAGGGACTGGAGCTGTAGGTGGTTACCTATAATTTGTTTTGGAATTTTTTGATTATCAGCTGTCAAGAAAGTTCTGGAAGTACAGGAGGTGATGAATTAATAGGCTGTGCCTAGAACATCTTGAACTCCCTGGAATAGTTACAATTTACGGTGAAAAAGTTATAGTTTAATAGCTAAAAAGATGAATTAAGCTATATTTGTGAACAAAATAGCAACTTACGTTCCAGTCATGCAGAGTATTAAGTGCCTCTTTAAGTGACTCTCATAAACACTTCTGCTGATTTCAGTGGGTTCATTCGCATGAATTAAATTAAGCAGATGCTAAAAAGTTTCCAGAAACTTGAGTCTGTCTGAGAAGTAATTTTCCTGGTATTTGCAGTGTGCTCTCACCTTCTAATAAACTTGAGAAAACACCAAAACTTGCAGTCATACCTGCAAGAATACATTTGAAAGTATGAGTGTTTCTCTATTAAATTTCTGAATAGATGCCAAAATTAAATAGATCTACAAAATCAAAAATTTCAGGGGTCAAAGAAAGAATAAGCCACAAGAATCTTTATGCAGATAGAAAAAGATAACATGGAAAGTGATTGATCTTTATATTTTTTTCCTTTCTCACCCATCCTAGGTGACATGGTCATGATGAGAGGATTAAAATGGGCTTAATTAAAGCCAAAAATTTATTAGGAACTGATTACAGCATATTGTAATCTCTTAAAGGGAAGGTTTATTCTTTTCGGTCCAGCGTTGCTGCAATGTATTTTCAGAAGAGAACAAGAAGAAAGGAGAGCATAAGAAAGGAGATAATTCTAACTTTAATTATTCATAGATACTATTATTATATCTTTGGAATATTCCTTTTGTTTTTGTTGTCCATCATTTGCTGAAAACCCAGTGCACTTGTGAAGGTGGGCCTATTTCCAGAAAGGATTTTGGGGACAGAAACTGCTACAGCACCTTTGGAGAACAGCTCTGAGCTGTAGCTACTTTAACAGTAAGAATCTATCAAGACAGATCAGGGAAGCAGGAGAATGGCATGGGAGATCTCTGGCAATTCAGTTCTCTCTGTTTCTAGAGTAATTTCTGAACTTCCACAGAAAACTTGCTTTGAACGCACATTGCATATAACTTTAGGAATCCTAAGGAATTTATCCTCTGTACTTCAGCCCACATGGAGAAATACTGGCCAACTCTGGCTTTATGGAGGGTTAAAGGGGTAAAGTAAAGAGGGAGATAATAGAGCACTGTTTTTGTGATATAAGCTGAAGGTTTTAAATTTCCTTTTCCTCTTTTTCTGTTTTAAATCTTTACTGTGTCACATAGTTGGTGTATGCCTGTCATGCAGTATGACTTGAAAGAAAGAGGTGAAAATATTGTCTCCTGAATTCTTTGCAGGGAACCTGGCAGGAAACTGGAAATGTGATGCTTGTTTATTCTAATGTTCTTGAAACTCCAATGGTCTTCAACAGTGCTGTAAAGGGGACAGAAGGAGCTAGTTTCTGAACAAGCAGTAGAGATGTAATCAGAAACCTGTAAGGTACAGTAAGGACTGCACCTAAGAGACGGGTGCAATGCTTAAATACCAGGCCAGAAAGCTGCACCGGGCATTCATGTCTTTATCTTGGGGCAAAATATGTGTTTACTTTTATTTGTATGTACTTAACACTCCTTCCCTCCTCTACCTTCCCCCCCAAACCAACCAACCAGAAACAAACAAACAAAAACAAACCAACAAAGAAAAAAAAAGAAAACAAACAAGCAATGAAAACAAAATTCCCATCTTAGAGCTTCATTGAAGTTTTCCTCCTTTAGGGATTGGAGGTAGAATAGCCCTGGTGTTGTTACTGGTAACAAACACTTTCTGAGGAATCTGGGAAGAAGGAATGCTGAGGGATTTCTGTTTCAGGCAATGAAAGAAGGGATACATTTCTTAGGTATTCTTGGCCAGAAACACCATCAGCTGTGGTGACGCTAGATCCCTAGCACACAAGGGCAAATTATTGTCGCCACCTCCATTGACATGCTCTGGCAATTAACTCAAAGAAATGCGGGTGAATTTAAGATGAAATAGTTCAAAACAGTTTTATGAGTCTCCCCATAAAACAGGAGGTGGGATGGACTAGGAGATCTCTAGGTAACTTTATAGATCTATCTTTAAATACAGAATCTGCTGAATTTAATTCTCTTCCATTGCCTTTCTTTTTAGCTGTCCTCGCTGATGATAGCAGGAGCTGGTTCTGAATCCCACCCTTGATTATTGCTCAGTTACTGTTGTGCTTTGAGCCTCTCTCCATTTACAGGCAATCCAAACACTTTCACTAGGGCAGCAGCGTGTATGAGCTGCTGGCTACCATCCAAGCCGTAAAAATGCTCTCAGTTGCAGAGTTGCACTGAAATGAAATTGGTGAAACAAGACTCTGCTCTTACAAATGATGCAGAGAATCCAGAGATCCCAAAGACCTTCACTTTTTTTTTTTTTTTTTTTTTTGTGAAATTATTCCTTCTGCTCTTTGGATCTGTTTATTAATTGAGGGAAAATACCATCCTGTTTAACAGTATCACTGTTTAGTCTGAAAAGATGCACACAGTCCAAATGACAGTTCTTTAAAAATCTGTAAAGCAGACGATCTGTGTTTTTTTCAGATGCTGGGATAAAATCCACTGGCATAACTGAAAAAGTGATCAACCTCTGCCTCATATGCCACAGGTTGCAACAGTTTAAGAATTCAAAGATGGCTGGTTATCACTTTGTTTTTCCTTCGTTAATATTTAGGACGGATGCTGAGCAACAGAAATGGCTCATTTGGATTGTACTGTGTTGATCTTTTGGTAGAGGTTAAGTTCATAGCACGTGGATCTATAGGGATCTTCAGTGTGTGGTAGTTATCAGCTTGCCCTGTGGTAGAGGGGCTCCAATGTACATTGTTGAAAATAATCTAAATAACAAAAGTTATGCTTACAGGATGCACAAGAATGAAAAAATGTTGGCCTACTAAATCCAGGATTCAGTCTCTTGTTCTGCATGAATTTAAGGAAAAAAGAGTACTCTCATGTAGCTTTTGATATATTTTTTTTTCAATACCAAATATACATTCTTAAGGGAATCTCCTAGGTCAACTCTTGTGGCCTAAGAAGAATTTCAGTTGTTCAAAAAAGCAAGGTCTGAAACTTCTTCCTTAATAATTAGAGCCAATTGATGCTCCCAGTAGTGAAGTTTCTTTCTTTTCCTCCTTAATTGCAAGCACCAGCAGAAAGCTGTAGTTAGAACGCTGACAATAGAATAAATAGCTGACCTGATGGAGCGTGCTTGGGCTGTAGCCAGGAATCTCATCAGTAGATACTCTCTCCTTTGGGAAATGTTTCTTTCTTCTGTGTTTGTAAGTCTTATAGTAACCTATTTAAAAGTAAGAGATTTTTTTTTCTTGTTTGCTTGCTTTATTTTAAACCAAGACTCTATTTTTATAATGCCTTCTCATCAAATTCCAATAAAGTGATCTGGTAGATTTTGATTCTTTTGAGAATAGGAGAGATTAATATAATTTGTGAACTAAAGGATCGATTCTGAGTTTATTTATATCAATATATATCCAGTGATACTTTCTTTTGTTATTTGTTAGGCTTCGATCACCTTGAGCATGGCTAGTATTATAGCTCAGTTTTGCAAAATGTTATTTCCATGACACCACGTACATAACACCCATGGTCTGGGATTCTGCTCTCTCATAATATCCAGCGTACAGAGACCCGAGCACTGATCTGTTGCATCAATGTAGCATCAGCATATGAATTATCTGGATAATCAAAGCGGACGTCTACAGTTGCTGTTTGCTAGGGATTTCATCTGGTGGTCATGAACAGAGGAAGTGCCGGTTCAATAACAGCATGCTCCAGGCTACTGGGGACTGATGTTGACCCTGCATTAAGGAAAACCAACAGCTGTGCAAGGAACCAGAGGTTCTCCCAACTCTACCTTAGTGGGGTTGCTATGGTAACTTGGGGATAAGAAGCACTAATATGGACTGCCAGTCAGTGAGGGAGATCTGTTTTAGGTGATCTGCGTATAAAATATAGCTTTCAGATTGATTAGTCATGGACTAATGCTTTATGTTTCTTGACCAGTGAATTTGTCAGATGTTGAATGAATGGGATGTGATTCCTACTGGCTTTTTGGGTAAGCCGAAGATGTTTCATGAATGAAATTTGTTAATATGTATTTGGATGACTTCTGGTAATCCAGATGAATAATTTACAGAGTGGAGAGCTGTTCTTGAAGGAAGAAAAATGAGTGGTACTTCTAGGAACAAAAAATCACAGACACGAATTTCTCATTTCTGATCTTGTAGAGAAGACCAAAGCTCATTTTCTGTCTGAATTTATCTGGTTAATCAGGGTCAATTGACATTGTTTACCACCCTGTGTTAAAAAAATAAAAATAATAATAGTCGTGTCTACAGATGTCAAAGACAACTGCCTCCTAAATTTAAATTAGCAATCAAATCAGTTCTTCCTGCTGAGAAAGTCATTCAGATTGCTTGGGGGCTGTCATGGGGTAGGGGGATTTATGTGACTATTCCAACTCCATGTTCATGTGAAACAGGCAATCTTTCACAAAGTCACCGGGTTTGCAGAAAACTTTGAGTGCTGAAATCACTCTCCCCAGGAAAAGGAAGAAAACCCACCCAATCAATCTAAAAATAAAACTGGTAAGAAGTGAAAAATAAAATGAAACAGTTCAGATTTTCAGGAGCCTGACCTTCACATTCACCAGAATAACTGCCCATGATCTACTTCTATTTCTTTTATCAGTGAACTTAAATATGTTTGTTTTTCATTGTCTTTTTAGGTGATCCTGATTCTTACCAAGTATTACCATACCGACATGGGAAAAGTCCTGGAGAGCTCTTTGTGGAGGTAAGTACTTTGCTTTTCCTGTAACATTTCCCCCTTTTCTATGAGTAGATTTGTCTCTCTTCCCATTAGAAATTGCTGCTGAATTGATCTAACAGCTGCCTGGTGTTAATATAGCGGTATTACCCAGAGTCTCAATAGTGCTTACTCCTTTTCTTCCTTAAATGAGCTGCAGTTCAGTAAGAAAGAGCTTGAAATGAATTTTAACAGTAGAAGCAAACAATGACATAGTATAAGGTACCTTTCTCATGTCACTCTTCAAGATGCCATTTCTTTTCCTTTTCTTAGAAATTTTACCTCTAAGTTACCTGAAGTCTTTGAGTTGCTTCTTGTGTTGATGTCCCTGATGGGAGTTTTTGCTGTTCTTTCGTACTGTATTGTGGTTAGTGAGTAATCCTGATTTGGAAGGAGTCATGATTGTCTGGATGTGAAATATAATACCAGAGCTGGTTTTGTTGTGACTTATGATGACTGGAAACATGTAGTAGTTCAACTAAGATTTATAAATTGATTGTTACTTCCTTAACATCTGTGAATTAAGATATCAATATGCTTGTTGCCTGTGCACACACAAATTGCATCACTGGATGTTTATCAGCACAAAAACAGGGCTAGGGTAAGCCTATGCTACACTAGTTCAACATCAAAGATCAAGATCAGTATTTTCCTATTCCATTGTCTTTTTTCACAGACATACCTGTTTTAAGCTTGCCAAAAGGAGATAAATTGCTACAATACGCTGTATTTTTTGCATGTTGAGATGATTTGTTTTTTCAAGGTAAATGGTTAACAGGCACCTAGTTTGCGGAGATGTGTGCATCTGAACGATTATAGAATAAAAAGTGTGAACCTATTTGAAGTTATTTAAGTGCATCAGTACTGAATGATAACTCCTACACCAGACACCTGAAATCTGGTTGCCTTCTGATACATTCATTTTATTTTGCTCTGTAGGCTTTGTGTGCTCTGTGTAATTTTCTGTTTATCTCTATAAATCTTCTACCACAGATTTTCAATACCCATTATGTGCACTTCAAAACTGAAAATATTTTGCAGTTATCAATAAATATAAAATTGCTCCAGTGTTTGCAATGCTAGTTTTCCTGAGTTATCTGCAGGGCCAGAAGTATTCTTGAAATACTCTGCCTGGATATCTAAATAGTTGTTAGAAATGACAGGAGACTTACTTCAGAAGTCTGTGTGAATTTCTTAGGTTGCCAATAAGCATCAGGTCTAGAAACAAATGGGTGATGTAATACCTTGTGGCTTAGGTACTTGTAAACATCATGCTTTCCCCAAAGCTATATTTTTCACAGAGCCATTCCAAGAAAAGGAGTGGGTCACAGAATAGGGAGTGAGAGAAGTCTGTGACCAGGACATGGTGCATAGCAGTCTTGGTACTTTTTTTGAAGGAGGCTGCGTTGTTTTAATCTTGTGAGATTTCTCATGGCAGCAGCAGACCTCTGTAATACCTTGTTTTCATACTGCTAGTAGTCAAGTCTAGCCAAGTGCAGTGCTCCATGCAACACAAGGGTGTTTTCAAGTAGAAAATAACACTTGTAGTCACTGAAAAGGTGTCTGCAGGAAAGAGAGTAAGATCGAATGGAGAATGCTTAGTATTGGCTAAGAATTGGCCTTTTTAGGGCTACGATGGTTCATTTGTAATTATCCTTTAAACTTACAAGATGGGAATTTAATTGCATATTTGTTTCTGTTTTATTTTTCGTCCAACATCTTGTGCAAAGAAGACAACCAAATGGAAATTTGTATGCTCTCATAGCTGCATAAGCACACACTGCTTTCCTGTTGCATGACCCTGGCCGATGCAGCATGTACAATGTGTTTCAAGTTTTGCTATTCACGCCTCAGTACAATCTATCATGGAAGTCTTTTAAACTTATCCAGTCAGACTCTTCAAAATAAACTCTCTGCTCTTTCAAAATAAACATAAAACAGGCTTCAGATAATGTTTCTTTCTTTAGAGAACATAAACATTTTAAACAGAGTTGTTCAGCCCTTGCTGACAGCTGGTGTGAAGAAGATCTGGTGTGAACTGCATTTGAATAGCATTGATGCAAGATTGCGTTATAGGAAAATCAGGTCCTTTTCCTCACGAGGAATGGATTTGCCACATGCTTTGGTTGTTTATAGAAGTAGGATGGGAAAGCTGAAAGGAAACAAGTGCTTAAGAATAGCATTTGGGCCAGAGGGAGTAGCTGATCCATCCTGGCTGTGGTCTGCTCTGGGTTCACCTCTTGCTTCTGTCTCTGCCCGTTGGGGTGTGAGAGCTGCACACACAGTTGTCAGGCTGGGACTTAGGAAGTGGCTGTATTTAGAAACGCACAGCCAAGGCTTGCGTGCAAAAATATTGAATGTGCCTGTCTCTGTTGAGATGTAGCTCAATATATGTAGTAAATGAAATAAAAATAAATACTGAACAAAGCAGACTGTAAAGTCGGGGATGTTCTGTATTTTTTTCCTATGTTAAGAGTTTGGGTGTAAATTGGTGAAGCTGCATGTTTCACCATGGTCTTGTACTCATGCTGGCAGTCTGCCCAGCATGCACAAAGCATATGTATTTTTTTAAGCTTTTGGGTTTGTTTCTCTTCTGCACTCCTCTCATTTGCATCAGAACAAATATACAGTAAAATGGGTGTGAAAAATGTTATAGTTTTTTTTTTGTCAGTGGATAAAATCCATTAATCTTGGTGAAGTTTCTGTGCCCCAGTAGGAATGGATGCTATTCTGTTATTTTCTGATTCACTCCAGTGTTGTTCTTCTTCCTGTCTTGCCCAGCTACATCAAACCAGGCAGTTAATATTCCCTAAGTGAACATAAACCTGGTTTATAACCCAATCAGTCCCCACCAAGTTAATTTTTTAACATTGTTTATCTCCCACTTTTATCTTGCTGATCTCTATAAATATTATCACAACTTGGCATTTATCAGTCCCTTTATTTCCTGAAAATACATCCTTATTTTCTTCCTCTAAAGCATATTTCCTCTTCACCTCTCTCTCTCTTTTTTTTCATCCTTCACTCAAAATAATTGTTTTTCCCTGCAATCACTTTGTGGAACAGGGAGTGAGAAGGGAAGGGTGACTTGGTGGTCCAGTGCTGGTTAGCTGTTCTAGGTCACCGTGGCATTGCAGGCAGACTTTCAAGTGTAATGCAAATGGTAGAGGCAAAAAAAGAAAACAGTTTGAGGTATGTTCTGGTGGAGGTGTGGGGAGCTACATATAAGGAAAACAGATTTTTGGAAATGGTTCTAGGTGGCAAATTTCTGCATGTTTGCAGACCTTTGTTAATTTACACAGGTGACTTATGCCTGCCCCTATGGGTCAGGTTACATGACTGGGATGTCTAAATTTTAATTGCCTTGGAATCTTATCATTTTTTAATAAACAGTGAAAATGGTGCTGGAGAATAAAAGTCTTTTGACTAGTAGCAGTTGCTTCTGGTTACACTGGCCAGGTGAAGGCATAAATATCAGCGGAAGCGTGCTGTTAGAGAGCACCAGTGTGTGGTTCTGTAGTCAGATAGTTCTGATACTTTGTTTATTCGCTTATTAAATAATTATTAAGGTAGGGTTAAATTGAATAGTTATTTGACTCAAAATAAGGTGGGGAAATAAACTGAGATGGCATTGGTTGCCTCTTGAATATAAAGTAAGCAACTTTCTGAGAAGGAACAGAAGATTGTTTCCAGAATTATTTTAAGAGTTTCTAAACTGCAGTATATCTTGGGAACACAAGTTGGTTGTCATTTCAGGCCTCATTAACTTAATGAAAAAACTGATATTCCAGAGTAAAACTTCAAGTACTAAAGCTATGTTCGTGTATTGTGCATATAGTGTGAATATAGTGCTATTTATATCAGAGAGAGTCTACATGTAGCTTTAGATAGCATGCTTAGCATATGAAGGACTTGAATTCAACAGAGCGTTTAGGTGATCATGTGTTTCCTTGTGCTTTATGGACCTGTTTGTACCTACATATATAGGTGCACATGTTTTACAGCCTCAGGTGACTGCATGCATATATTGCATGCGTGCAACTTTAGGTGTATGTACTTGAATCTTAAAATCATATATTTTAGCCTTAAATTGGTAGTCACTAAGAAATTAATACTAATACTTATCTACAGATCTTAGTTAATTAATCATGGTGATATCTCTTGGCAATTGACATATATTATTATCTCCATTTTATAAATGGGGCAACTGAGATGTTACCTGAGATGTAACCTGCAGGTTATCCAGTGACTCAGCACCGAGTGGCCATGAGGTTGACTTCCAGCCCTGTGCTCAGACTGGCTCTGAGTCCTGTTTCTGATATGTATGCAGCCTTTCCTTCTTAACTCGTTCTACGCAATGAATAATAGATGCTGATGATGCTTGCTAATAAAGTTTTGATTGCATATTATCAAGCATAATGATAGGGTAGCGCTAACTCGACTTGCTGTGTAATTGCCATTGTTCCCAATGGCATCCCCGTGTTGTTATTGTTTCAGCACAGCAAAACAAAGCACATTGTTGGGTATTAGCTGCACTGTTACCTCCCAGCACTCCACCCTGAACCCTGGTTAGGCCGGTTGACAAGATGTTGGGATATTTTGCCCAGTGTTGTCAATAATGAACTGAATGAAGCAACAGACCTCTCAGCCCACATAGACGTGGACAAACGTACTGGGACTCCCTGCTCCAAAGGCAGCTTGAAGAGGGAGTGAGGTTGCAGTTCTGGGAGCAAAGCTGTGAGGGTTCAGGTCAGCGGCTGGGCAGCTGGGCATGAGAGCAAATATCTGAGCCTCATGGACAGAATGACACTTGGAAAAACTCAGGGAGTCAGAAAAATCCTTCTCTTTGATGGCATAACTGTTTTATCTGCACCCACAGGTAAAAGCCATGTGTTCTGGGAAGACCCAGTCATGCAATTCCACTGTACATCATTAATGCTCAATGCACAGTGACCACACAGTGCTTTGGGTGTTTACACAAAGGTGTA